GCTCTCTTAATATTTACGGTTCGATGCTTCTCGTTCGCTGGTCAAACACACACACTTCTTCTTTTTCTCGACACACGCATTCACACACACGCCGCGATCGGCTTGACAACCCATGTTATTGTCTAAACATAAACAACCACCATTCACACCAACTCTCTCCATTTCCCCATCTCTCCCCACATTCACTCTTTCATACCAAAAATCCCACAGTATGTATATCTCGAAACTATTAAGTTAGGATCATTATTTTGTTGGGGTATTTAGGTGTATAGTCGGTGGAAGCGATATAGCGAGGTCGTAAAATCAGTCGGGCGTCAAAGTACACTAATTCGTGCTATATTTAGATATTTGTACATAGATTTATTGAACCACATATGCTATCTTTGAAGCAGTTTCATGATTCCATTCTCTTAGAAATGGGCACCTTTCTGGTCGATGAATTGGTCCAGGTGGTTTGACAAACGCTACGAACTTTTGTTCCAACTCAATAATAGTGTCTGATAGCATTTAACTCAGTTTTATCACATTTCTTTTCCGCATTTAACCATTTCCTATTTCTATTTCTAAATGTCTTGCAGATGTTGTTCTGCCTTGTTGCAACTTTTCTTTTTCTTCTTTTCTGGTTGATTCCTTTGGTGATGCCTTCCTCTCACCAGCTGGTGCAGACACATATAGTTTTCGGCGAGGGTGAAGTTCGACTTCATCCACATGTCTGGCAAAATATTACTACTATTCCCAGTTCCCCGATATTATCGAGTATTTTTGTCGATTTCCGGCCGAGGAACAGGATATTTCCTCTACATCCGCAATAAGAATCACATTCCTACACGTTATGCCGTGTCTTTTTCTGCTGAGAAGAATTTTGTTTGAAAGACTGAAACGAGGAATCACAAGACTTTGAGATCTCAGATATCCATATACGTACGAAGCACCTAAAACAGGCCACCTGAATATCTCCGCTGTTATTGGTGATAGAAGCAAATGTGTTAGATCAAACTTGCTTATTGTTAGTGTCATACAATTTTGAATTAAAAATGCTTTCCATATTTTCCACAATTTTGTAAATATTCATGATAATATGAAATTTCACAATTTCCTAGAGGGGATGTTTTCACCCCTAGAACAGTTTCATTGTCGAAAAGAAAAATAGTTTCGTTATTAGCGTCACTTGATGTACATTTCCGCAAAATTTTTAATTTTTTTTCATTTTCGCGTTGCCAAACTTCCCTTGATAGTTAACACATCAAGCGCCATCACGTAAAAAAATTGATGTTGCGTTTGGCCACTGAGTATTTGACGTTTCTTTTCACGTGCACATGCCTTCAATTAAATAGTTTCATATTTATATCGTTTATGTATTTTTATTTTCGACAGTTACCTATATGTTCTGAACTTTGTGTGAGTAAATTTGTATCATAAAAGTTCAATCTATTATTTCATTAAAAAATTGTCGGCCGTCAAGGTTTTCTCGACAACTGGGCCACCCCAAAACCTTTCCCCATATAATTATACGTAAAAATTGTACGTTTAAGAATACAGGCAGCCGAATCTGAATGAAGTATCAAATCTAATACAGAGTGTATTGTATTCATTTGTATACAAATGGCGCACAACTTGTTAAGAACACTTATGGTTTCACACACGTAACGCAAATAACGTTTAAAAATAATTGAAGTCCAAAAAATGTTTATATGTTAAACAAAATAAATCTGAGTAATGTGTTGTATCGAGTTGAATTTTACGTTATTCAAGATGTTAGTATGGTATCTCGAAAACTACTAATTTGAACAATTCTCCATAGTTGTAAATATGAATACTGATTTGAATACGAGGATACGCAACCTTATAAACAGTCATTAATTGATAATCGTAATATTTGCATGGCACTAACTCTTGAAAGGCGGATGGTTTTATCGACTCGTAAGGCGAATACACTTGGTCCAAATGGACCCATAGCGAAATTTTTCTTTTTATGTCTTCTCGAATAAGACATATACACTAGAATTTTATCTGGCCGCATTTGTATATTTTTCTTACATTTATATATCGTTAGTAGGGACAAGAGAGAATAAGCAACGTACAAGTAAGTCATATTTATCTTGTTTGCTCCCACACAACACGTGAAGCTGATTATTTAGCAAATAACGAAACTTTAATCGCCAATACAATTTTACTGCAACAGTAACAATTAATGTTAAGAATAAGTTCGAAGTACTAAAAGTCTGGGTAAAGTCTACCGTTCCAAGTTGACAAAGTTCAATTGAAAATGTATGTAGGCTAGTCGCCTGCGATACAATTCAAGTCCAAGAGTGCCGTAGCCAACTACACCAAATCCGAGTTCAAAGTTCGATTACAAATCTCAAAGGAGTCTCTAACGGAATCGTTAAAGGAATCTCTAAGTCTCTTTATCAAGTCTCTTTACAAGCATCGCTACAAGTCTCATTTGTATTCTAACTACCCTGTCCTTTCATACGTGTCCCCGTTCGCCCAGAGGTGTGTCCTCGTGGAAAATGCGACAAGTGGGAGAAATGTACTGTCTAATCCAGAAAAGTTAAGAAATTTTGGGGACGTCCCTCTGTATACTCGCGGTGGGTCCTAAAACGTACCATCATCGAGTACGGAGATCGTATGACAGTGTGTGCTGCCAAAAACCTCAAGGTGGCGGCTTTGGAGCGTCACATGCGGAATCAGGTGAACTGAGCAGAGTATGTACTTACATACATATGCAGGTAACTCTCGTATAACACGGTTCGAGAATTGGGGAAAATCTTCGTGCAACACGGTTTGAGAATTAGGGAAATACCCGAACAATATGGAACATAATAAGAGCTTTTAACTCTCGAACGACGAATTTTGACTAAACAGCGATAAGATTAGTATCAATGTAATAGAAATGTAAATAAATAAGAAAAATATAAAATATAGTTGAAAGTATACAGATTTATACACAATTCCTTCTTGAAACCCATGTACGATAGAAATTTTGCTATGGCTCAAAATCACCCTGCATTTCGCCTTCCGAGGGTTAAAAGCAAAAAATATTTAATTTGAAGTTCGGGAAATCCCCGAATAACACGGAACATATTAAAAGCTTTTAAGAGCAAAATATATCTCACTTGAAATTTTTCATTCGAGTGTGGATGTCGTATCGGATTTGACTGCAGAATTTTAAGATTTATTAGAATTTTAAATTCATTTTCTTCGTGGGGTATTAAGTACGTATATACATTTTAAAACTTTGTGTTTTTATAGATTAAAAATTTTCGGGTGATTGGTAATTATGTATTGGAAATGGGTTATGGAATTAAATAGTCTTTTATCTTTGTAATATACGATTTTATTTACGGTCTCAGAGGAAACGTCTTTACTCTATTGAATCTTCTGAAGGACTGTTTCTAGGCACCCAAAAGAAAGTTGGGGTCCCCTTATACCTAGAAACTGTTTACGTTATGGTATGGCATTGTGCAGTGAGTGACTCGAAGACGAACACCAGATGCATCTGGTGGAAGTCCCAGTGCCTTTGTTTAAAATAACCCGGAGACATTTTTGTTCTCACTTGATTATTTCCATAGGGTGTTGTTAGAAATAATCCAACATTATGTTTTCCATTTTTGTGAACTATGTCAGGCGGAAATAAAAAAATACATATTATTTTTATTTAATACATATTAATACGTTATACTTTTGGTGAAAATTACTTTAATAAAGATATTTCTCTTAATTATAAAAATATAGTAGTATGTTTTTCTTTTTCATTTTTGGAACCTAACCCCCTGTTTTGTACTAGTTCTTTGTTTCGTATAACACGGACTCGCATAACGTCATTTTTTAGGAACCTAACAACCGTGTTACACGGGGGTTACCTGTATGTACAGTCCTGCGCTGAGAAGATGACGAGCGGGACGGCACAGAGGCAGGGGAAGTACCTTTGACGCTCACCGTCAAATGCGACCGATTAGTAAATGCGACCGTTTCGAGATCCGCATTCCTTCCGCTCGTCATCTTCTCAGCGTAGGACAGTACTGTTGGGAGCTAGAAAGGTGTCAGTCGGCTCTAATGCAGTAGGTCTACCTTCGCGGACAGACGCATAAAGACGACACATCTACTTATAGTCGACGCTTGTAGGCAAAGTGATCGGAATTGAGTAGGATAGAGCGATAGCGAGCGCCGAAATGCGAAGCATTACCGTAGGCATAGACTTTTATTTTGCAATTACACGGCAAAACGTATCAAAAAGCTGCAAACTTCACGTCATATGTTCAATTTCACGAGACACAAGTAGAAACAATCATATCATTCCGATATCCGCGAGGAATACGGAAATCCTACAACTATGTCAACGTCAAGAGAGCGTCAAGAGTGGAACCGAATATCTCCTTGCCCCTGTGCCGTCCTGCATGCCGACTTTCCAGCTTTGCACAGTAGTACATATCCATACATTGCCCCACCGCAGGATCGTTACCCGAGAAGACATGGCTTACTGCCCGAATATCGCTCTGTGCTCGAGCTGGTCTGATCACTGCTCTCTGTAGGCAGTGTTAAGGCGATTGGATTTATGACACGGAAGCTTAATCAAGCTTTGAGGAATTTAATTAAAATTTTGTGTGACACAGTGAACCGGAGGGCAGAGTTTAGAAATTGCTTAGACTTCTAGGCTTTGAGGGCGATTTTCGCTCATTCAATGTGGATGATTGCCGATAAAAAGGATACCTGTCGGATATTCATCAAAATCGGAAATTATCACTTCGGGATATTTCCTTGTAAGTTAGTGCACGTGTAACTACCTGACAGATTTTCAAAGTCGTTGCTCTCTCGAAAATGAAACCTCATATGGAAAAACCTTATTCTGCAATTTCGACTTATTTTTTCATAAAGAACCTCCTTCCCGGTTGTACATGCCTGTATATTATGTATCGCGCAGAATTATCCCTTAAAATTGTTCCCACTACATAGTTGCCGAACGCCCTATATAATTGTGATAAGATGATTCTGTTACTCACCTTTGAAGCAAAACTTGTTTCTCTTGAAAACTAAAATCGTATCGTTGTATTTAGTGGCAGGCGGGGCAGTGACGTTTAACCTCAAGGACATAGGAATTTCAGCGCTCATGTGACCCGAGCACGGCAGTCTGATCCTGAATACTTGCAAGATGACTGGAACCTCCCCCTTGCTCGACACATTTACTTTAGGAGTAAGCGAAGCCATCATTTCACCAGAAACACCGCCTGGAACACCTACCACGTCGTAATCCAACTCCATTGAGTAAGGCAACTGCAAACAAATGTGAAAAGGAAAAGAGATGCATAGAATTGTTCGAAAGTCTTCTGTTAAGGCGTAAAAGAGGGTTTGTGGCAAGCAGAATCGGAAATTAAAGTTCTAAGCTTGCTGTAAACCTCCAGAAAATCGTTAAGGAAAGTTTCCCCTTTGCTACCAATTTTCTACCACTTTAAACTTAACGCGATTCGCTGATGCGAGCCCCCCATCTTCATTCTTTACCACCTCCGTTTCAAATACACAGCCGATAGGAATATTGTTGTAATTTTCGTAAAAAAATTGTTTACTGAATTGTTTGTGAACTGTTAGTCTTATTTATTAACTACAATCATTCCAATCACTTCACACACAGTTAATTTGATATGTGAGGTATGTGTAGCGCCCTGACAATTTAATTACAGCGTTACTTATTTATTTACAGCGCTCCGAGTATTTATGCACACTCCAATTCATAAGTATTAGGACAAAATTATTAAGGTCTTAAAAAAAATTAGTCAATCTGGAATTTCATAGTACGAGTACCTACATAGGACCAAACTTCTAAATATCCATTTCCGTTTAAGGTGGCGTCATAAAAATAAGTCACTTGATTGCGCCACACCAAACATTGTCGCGAAATCGAGTTTGAAAATGAGTTTTGTTGAAGGTCGTCGAACTTGTTTCGGCAACCACTTTCGTATAATATAAAAAAAATAAATACAGTAGAGTTTCGATTATGCGAGGTGATGTGGATCGAGCCTACCTCGAATAATCGAAAACCCGGATAATAGGGAAGGATCGATGGGTGTTCATAAGTCGCGCAAGAAAATCATAAAAAACATTTTGATAATGTAAAATTGTACATGTATTTAGGTTTAATTAACTGTTTGTCAATGAAATAATAATGTTGTACGTGTGTTTAAGTTTAATTAACTATTTATTAAGCAGTTAGTATGAAAATGCTTTTTATGATTTTATTGCACGATTTACGAACACCCATCGACCCTAGAAAATAATGTCATTTTTTCATTCTATTTAAATTCAAAGCACCTCGGATAATACGGAATCTCGGTTAAACGGGACTCGGATAACCGAGACTCCACTAGGTAGCTATGAATTTAAAAAAAATTATTGTATGGTAATTATGCGAAGAGTATTACAAACATGAAAAATCTATTCAAGTATAAGAAGTAATGAAACTTTGTCCTTTCCTATTTTTCTCACAAATACCCTGTGTATTTTTACTGATATATAATATCATCTTTGTCAAAAGAAGTGTAATTTAACACGCTCGTCGCCACGTCACCCATATCTGGGTGACGGGTATGCTTTCGTGGGGGTCCTTCTTCGTCAAGTTAAATAGGATTTTACAAGTAATTTATAAAAATCCCATTTGTAACACAAGAATTTAATGGAATAAGCTCCGGCAAATAAAAATATTAAAAATATACGTACTGTATTATACTATACATTAATTTATATTTAAAATAAAATACGACATTCGGGCAGATTCTAATATACTTAGAAACAATCGACACCACTTTGAGCGCTCTAGCACGCAATACTCGACATCTTGATACACCAGTGCGGTCCAGTCCGCAGTAATCGACATCACTAATAAAGCGCGATCACCATCGCGACAATAAGTAGTTGGCACATACACGTGCAATAATTACCAACGCCAACCCTACCTTCCAACCAACAAGAAGCGCGGAAAGCTGCGTTAACAGAGCCCGGAAAATCGAATAAGGGGGCTCTAACGGTTTTTCGGAGCAACGCAGGATAGGACGCGGAGAGGACACTCTCATTATAGCCGTCGAGCGAGACGGACACCCGAGTGCAATACTCGACATCTTGATACACCAGTGCGGTCCAGTCCGCAGTAATCGACATCACTAATAAAGCGCGATCACCATCGCGACAATAAGTAGTTGGCACATACACGTGCAATAATTACCAACGCCAACCCTACCTTCCAACCAACAAGAAGCGCGGAAAGCTGCGTTAACAGAGCCCGGAAAATCGAACAAGGGGGCTCTAACGGTTTTTCGGAGCAACGCAGGATAAGACGCGGAGAGGACACTCTCATTATAGCCGTCGAGCGAGACGGACACCCGAGTACCTTAGTCACCGCTTATATTCATTAAATAATACATTTTGGTTAATAGCCTATACTGTGTTCGTTTTTTTTTTTGAAACTGTGCTAACACTCGCTTCATTATTTTCCAAAATTGACCGATACGTCGTTTCACCATTATTAAGTGTACGTAACAATTTACTTGAAATTAGTTTATTCGTTGTGGAGTAATTACCAGGTAAACAAACAATATATTTTGAAAATATTCAAGATTGGTATCAGGTTGTGATTGTGTTCTTGACGAAAGAAGGGAAAAGTCCAATGGAGATTAAACAACGCCTGGATGTTGTTTACGGGGGCTCTTCCCCATTAGCTGATATGTTTTTTTTTTCTTTCTCTCAGTGTCTTGTCTATGTTTGTTTGATCGCATAGCGACGTGCCTTCCTCGCGTATCAGAATAAAGAAGATTTATAATTAAAACAATATCTTTTATTTATTACCATAATTCTAACAATATTCTACTGTGGTTGGAATCGGCAAAACAATTCTATTTGTGTAGGTAGTCGATTGAAGACGAACTCGCCAGAGAAAGTCTGCGAAAGCCATAACAGAGGAAAACATCGGTACTGTTGAAAAAAGAAGCACTGGAAGTCAGAAATACGAAATAAAATGTGAAGAAAACTATGGAAACGATGAAAAAAATTATCAATAAGAGTTATTAAAATTCTACCCGAGTAGGTTAAAATTATTTATTATAGATTGTAAACTTTTCGACTTTACTACTTATTACGAGAAACGAAGTGAAACTGCATATCGAGTTCAGTATTTTATTATTTACCAGAAACGAAACTTCGTTGACGGCAGGTTTTTGATGGAAACGATAGAACGTACACGCGATTAAATTAAAAATGTCGACTTGATTGTAACAGTGAAACTATTCTTTATTTTCTGGTCGCATTAAGTAAATCATTCGCGTGAACTGTAACCGATAAAAGACACGTGATAAAATACCTCGAAAATCATAAATCTCTAAGCACACTAATACAAAAAATACTCAGCAGCTTGATAAATACGGGATACTATATTCTACCATCAAATTTTTGTATTGTCACATTCACGTAACATTTGGATACTACCAAATGATCGAAATAAAGTTTTCTGAAATATGAATAATTACGCGTCTCTTGCTGTGAAATCTTTAATTTTACACGTAAGTTGATAAGCAGCTATCATAAATAAAGTCTTATCAATTTTCACTTAACAATAGCTATCTTTGGCTGGTACATTCACATTCATCATACAGACATTCACGTGCGTAATAAAAATATCTCGGATAGAACCACTGGATTGTAAGAGCGAGGAACCCCTTTTGGCTCGCATATCATTATACGCATGCAATATTTCACACTGAATCCATTCTTACTTTATCTCCATTTGTCGCATGCTTCCTATTTCATGTTCGAAAACTGTTATTGATGCCAACTACTCTATTCGCTTCTTACTAATCTAACCTTTAGAGCTGTTTTCAAAATTACGAGTTTTCAGTGGAAATTCTCTTATATCTTCTTATAAACTTTTTTATGCTTCTCTTCCTTTCATATTTATTTCAGTCTTCTCCCCCAGTGCGTGAAGTAATTATTCAAAAAAAAGATATTATAAATAAATAAACGAAATTATACACAGTGTGTTTCTTTTATCCTGCGAATTGGAATACCTTGTAAAATGTTATAAATCGTCTTTAATTTTAGTTCTTCCTTTAATTGAACATCAGCAAGTAGAAGTAAACTTGGTTTAAATTTATGTCGTTAACGTGAAAAGCATAACGGGAGATAAGTTCGATCTTTATTTACAGCGCGGCGTGCAGCCTAATAGCCGTCAGCAAGTGAGTTCGGCTCATTTGACTCTTCAGAAACTGATGAATTCGTAACATCTTATAACAATAAGTTACCTCATGTGGGAGGTCGTTGAATTCGTCTCAGTAAATGCCATCGCACTATAAAAAAAAAATATATGGTTCCATTTAAAAAAATGAACTTGACTTTGAAATTTACCCCCACCATGTGGCGTCCCCCTTCTTGCCAAACATCTTTTTGATAAACAATTTATTAGGATAAAGGAAGCACTGTGTAGGTTGCGAATATATCATACAGCTTTGTTTTCGAATTTTATTTGATACTTCCAAGTGGCAGTTTGAAAAATTCGCATATTCGTAAATAACACTTCTTAAACAGAGAATACTTTTGTTTTATCGTTTTGATAAATACGGTGAGGGCTGTAAATAATTTGTATTAATCAGCAACAAACTGACACTTTCAGGACAATCAGGACACTTTCTTAATTTTAACAAATGCTTGAAAAATGTTATGAAACCGTTAATGAATGACACTAAATGATACATGTCTTGTTTCGTACCACAGCGGAGTACATAATACGATAAATAATCCGTTAAATATCTTACCAAAGACCTTAAACAATAGTTATATCTTCTTTTCGTGTATACACTACCGGCCAAAAGTTTGGGATCACTGTGCATTGCAAGTTACACAAAAATTCCCAGAAAAAAGTCAGCAGCTTTAAGAATTTTTTAACGATGAGATCAATTGCTATTTATCTCCACAATATCAAGTCTGTGAAAAATTAGTAGCAGATTCAGTACTGATGAAAATTAGGAGGTGATTCCAAACTTTTGGTCAGGAGTGTATATCCGCCTCTTGTCTTTATTACAGCATTCACGAATCTGTGCATCCTGGCTATTAATTTCTCTATTGTGTCAGAGGTACTGTTCCTCCACATTATTTCTAAGATTTCACACAAGTTTTTTTCTGACTTAGGACACGTTTCTCGCGAAGCACACAACGAAGACATATCTCATAAATATTTAACAATTTCAAGGGTTTAAATAATTAAATTATTCGCAATCATACAACTTGCAAAAACTTGA